AGCTACAAAAGCAGCCAACAGCCGCAACGGATTGCCACGCCGCCTGGCTCCAGTTTTGCCTTTCTGGGCGCACCGCCCGACCGTGCAATGCGAGCACGATATAGCTGCGACCCAAATCAGTTTCTGGCTCGCAACATCTGGATTTGCTTCAGAGTTTTTAGTACCTTCCACCGCTGAGAATAACGCCCGCCCGACCTCAAGAGGCTCGTACTGTACCGACTGCCACGTTTGCAATCCCTGATCGAACCATTTCGGCCGCTCAAAGACATTTCCAGAGGCATTTCAAAGCCACTTGTAGGTCCGTCAAGCCACCAAGCATGGTGTAAACGGCCGGTTCCCACCAGCACCATGAGGGAGGCAGGAATGAACTGGCGTGCCGTGCTGTATGGCCTCTGGCAACATTGCAATACCCTTAGCCCCTTTCGACGCCCTGGTGGCTGGCTGTGCCAATCTAGCTAGTGTCCGATACATGGTGAATCTAAATTTTACTGTGACTATGCGAGTGTCTCGATGCGAGCTTGATGCAACACTCACAAGCCACTACCTAACTGATGACATGCACTTTCAGTCGTTCACAGCCGAAATTCCTTACTGTTCATGGCGCTATAGGGCTGCACATATGCGAGAGTAGCCTCGAAGGGGGTTTCACCCATCACACGAGAACCTCTGACAAAGGCCATCACGATGAGACAGCATCGTTGTGGATGGAGACTGAACATGGGAGCTTTGAAGGCACAATCGTATATCGAAGACAGCGAGTGTCGTCTATTTCTAACTACGAGAGCAATCGACAAGCTGCCAGAGCCTGACTGACTGTCTACCTAACACCCAGCGGGTGACGTCCGTCATCACAGGCACTCACGCGCTGTCACACGCTATCGCACGCCGTCATACACTATCCTACGCTGTCACGTCTCTGCACTGGCTCTATCACTGAAAAGGACAGGTTCCCAGGCGGCACCACGAGGAGGTTGCAGGGTCCGAATTTCGCCACCCACATCGCTCGAGGAACAGCATGTCGGCGGTACCGTTGGAATGGTCATCAACAGAAATCAAATGAATTGTAGAGTCCGTTTTCGCCACCGTCGAGAATGTCCGCTCGACGGAACACATAGGAAACGCAGAAACCGTGGACTGGCATCGTTGGAATGATCATCGACGGAATAAAGTGCAGAAGCCGTTGCCCGGCATCGTTGGAAGTTTATCAACGGCACCGCCATACAGTTTTGTGCACATGTCGCTGCCTCTTTCACAAACATTCTCAATGTTCGAGAAGCCGAAACCTGCTGTGATGGGTCTCCACAAACCTCTGGTCATGGCTATAGCGACCGGTTTGCAAACGAAAATATGGGTCAGGATGGCGAACGACAGTGCGAGTGGCAGCGCGTAATTGAGAGCTACTCCAAAGCATCCATAACTGGCTTTCACAGCATTCATTTCCGCACATCTGATCGTTGTCGCATGTACACAGTAAGAACGACTATGGGCCCAGCCTGTGTGGGTCAAGTCCAAAAAGATGAAGTGTGTTGCCAAGAGGAAGCAACATATGATCAATACTATATGGCAGCGTCAACACACGATCAACATCATCGCAGTGGTGGGGTGAGGCTGGGAGCCCAGCCCACCAAGAAAACTCCCGATTCCAAGTGGAAAGAGACCTCCCTACTGAAACTTTCATCGACATCCTCTCTGCTGCAAGTTTGCAACTTGGTACAAGGCAGGTTTGCTCAGCGTGCAATGGCATCAAGGCCCCACTGTGTGCCTTTGGGGAAAGAAGCATTTTTGCATCTTGGAGAATCGCTTGGTGAGCGTTGTGGCAGGGGTTGGCGGAAAACATCACATTTGCGGCTTCCAGAGGAGCAAACGGCCGGCGGTTGTCTTTTGGCGGGCGGGGTCTAGACCAAGGCCAGACTAGGCGACGAAAGTGTGGAGCG